ATATTCTTGATAACTATGGATATATTTATTATTGACCAGTGTTTCTGGATGAGATTTCAAATAAAATGGAAAAAAATTTAAAATTCTGGCTTTGCCTTTGCCTTAAATTTTAGGAAAAAAGGGGACAAGATAAAGGTAGAAAGAGTGTGTTCATTTTGTGGGGAAGAGGTGAGTGAAGGGGTTATAATTTCTCTAATTCCATGTAGGGAATGACCTTGTATAGAAGGAACTGATAGTAGATGAACTCCCCAACTACTACTAAGATATAGATAGATAGATACATAGATAGATAGATAGATAGATAGATAGATAGATAGATAGATAGATAGATAGATATAGATATAGACATATACACACACAAATATACACACATATATACACATACATGTATATAACCCCACAAATAACAAAAATATGCATTGTATTATATATATACATACATACATATATCATCTCTCTCTGTGTTATATAATCCTCAATTTTCTTTGGGCATTGTTTTAAGACTCTCTTTTGTGATCTAATGCTGTTTGAGTTTTTTCTGTCCCCACAGTAAGGTTGCCACCTCATCAAATAGAAAAAAATAATAATAAACTGGAGTACTAAAGTGACAGAAATAAAAGGCAGAATGGCAAATATGGGACCCTGTGCTGACAATCAACAGAGAAAACAAAGAAAGCTGTAAGTAACTTTTTTCTACTTTAAAGCTGATGCTTCAGATTGGAACTCCAGTCTGTAGTGTTTTCCCTCAATTTAAAAATTAATTTATATTTTTAGAACTGTAACACCCCCACACCCATACCTCCTACCAATCCTCTCCCACCCCCAGCAGTTTATTCTCCTGAGAAAAGAGAATAAAACTCCCCTCTGTAAATGATGTTCTGGGGTTAATTCTAATGACCACAGAAGTCACCTAGTTCCCCTGTCTTGTTGATTTATAGCAGGAATCTAACTTCTTTTCCCCCTCCCATTGAGGGCCTGGAGGGCAAAATAAGAGGTAGATGCCTTCTTCGAAGGGAATAGCCAAATAGTGTGCATTAAGTATTGTTTTCCTTCTGAACAATTTCCTCTTTCCTCCCACCTTCCCTTTTTATCAGTTGTTTTTTCTTTTAATAAAGGTAGAGAGTGAGCTTTACTTGGGGAATGATTTTTAGAGAATTAAGGAAATATAGAGATAGCGTTCATTGGATATTGCACAGTTGACACCCTGCCCTGCTTCCCACTGAAATTCTCACTTAAATTTCATGGAATATCCCCCAATAAATTCAGGATGACATATAAATAATATTCTCTCTCTCTCTCTCTCTCTCTCTCTCTCTCTCTCTCTCTCTCTCTCTCTCTCTCTCTCTCTCTCTCTCTCTCTCTCCCTCTCTCTCTCTCTCTCCCTCTCTCTCTCTTTCTCTCTCTCTCTTTCTCTCTCCTCTCCTCTCCCACTTTTCCCTCCTCTCCTGTACCATCCTCTTCTCTCCCTTCCTCTTCATTCTGTAGAACTTTCTCCCCGCTTTCTCTGCCCTATTAAGATTTCCATGCAAGATGATGGAATTGCTACAGAAAAAGCTTACATGTAAGACATTTTTTATTCCTTTCCTTTCCTTTCCTCTTCTCTTCTTTTCTTTTTTCTTTTTTTCTTTCTTCTTTTTAATTTAATAAGAAAATGACACAGATTTCAGAGAAACCAAAGGATGTCTGCATTGACGTGGGTCTGAAGGTCTCTGGCTTCCCTACCATCCCCAAAGGCCGCCTGTGGAGTCAGTGGGATGGGGTGAAGGATATAGTGAGGACTGGAGGTGGAAGAAGGGGGGAGAGTATCCATTGGGTTTAGACAGACAAATGGGGGAATAATAGTCTGTTTCCCTTGGGTGATTCATTTCACTGGGTGAGGAAGGAGCTGCTGAGGATTTATTTGAAACAAGCACAAGGCAACCGCAGAGCCTTTCCCTGTGAGTTTATTATCTAGAAAGAGGAAGGGGGAGCGGTTCATTAATCAGAAAAATAGGCTTCTTTCCCTCACTAAAGCAGCTCATTTCTGTCTTATTTTGAAAAGCCTCTTTGAGATTTGCTTGCAGGTGTCTGCATGGCCTTGGTCCTCTCCCCTCGTCTTCAGAGACAAACAGGATATAGGTCACCTGGAGAGTTAGGAATAAACTTTACTGGTTTCATTGAATCCTAGAATGCTCCAGCCAGAAGGAACATTGGGGATCACGTAATCCAGCCCTCTTGTTTTTTAAACAACTAAAGCCCAGAGACTTTAAGCAACTTGCTTCAAGGTCACAGACCTAGTCAGTGACTCAATTAGAACTCGAATTCTGGTCTCTCTGGCTGGCCCTGGTCCTGTGCTTTTTCAGTAGTCCTATGCTCTTTCAGCAGTTAAGTCAATGATTTTGAAACAAACAATCTCTCAACTCAGTGGTATTCTTCTGCACCAGGGGTTTACTCCAGTGGTTGCCCGGCTACTGCTATTATAGCTGGATAAAGAATCCCACCAAGCTCCCTAAATTCCCATGAGCCGGTAAGCTGTTAAAGAGAACAGCTGAAAGGCGAGCTTCTTGGCTAATTTAGATAGGAAGAGCCTTGGGAGTAGATGAGAAACAGGGTGGACTTTGGGAAGGACTCCTGAGCTGATCTGAAAAGTGAGGAACAACTTTCAAAGTTGTCACAGTTCCCATAAAAATGAGGCAGATGATCAGAGCTGCTGTCCTCTTTTGTGAGGCTCTTAACTTTGATAGTAGTTAGGGGCAGATGGTGGTTAGATTGTGAAGGGGGAAAGTAAAAATACCTTAAGGGAAAAGTAAAACCCTGTGAAACATGCAAAAGGAATGTGAGCCATATTCCCAGATTTCTCTAGGCTCAACAACAAACTTTCATATCAGTCTTTTAAGAAAAAGAACTTAATACTGTGGGTTCAGCATGAATACCTACTGTAGGGTGGATTGGTACACAGGTTTGTGTACCTTTTACTTCCGCAATTTAAAGATATTAAATTCTCAATGGAATCATCTCAGGAACAAGATAACTTGGCATTATCCTTAGAATAAAAAGAGAGATGAGAAGGATTCCAAACCAGTTTGAATGCAGTAAAGTATTTATGATACCAATGATACCAATTCTCCTTACTTCAAAAGTTCTAAGTAGCTTTACTTCTTTGTCCATAAACACCTATGGCTAAATCTATGATCTTATGAACATGATGATAGGACTATACGCATCCCAAATTAAGCCATGCTTTGTTTTTGTTTTTGTTTTTAAGTGAAGAATGGAAATCAAAGACTTTCAAACCTATCAGTACAAGTGATTTGACTTTTCAAAGACAGAGGGGAAAAGATACCAGCTCAAGTGTGGATTAGAGTTGTAAAAGTCAGGCAGGCAGGAGTGTGGTTGGTTTTGTTTTGTTTTGTTTTTTGTTTTAGAATATCCCATCCCAGAGACAAAAGTTTTGGTTCCTTTGTTATATCTCTCAACTTCAACAGGACACATTTTTAGCTGATCAACAGGGACAGAACTTTTCTAGGAGTGATGCTAGGGAATCCTCATAACTCCTCTTGCTCTATCAGTTTAGCACATAGATTTCTCCCCCCAGAGGAAGGACTACTAACTCCCACCCAGAGAAGGGACTGGAAGGACTGTTAACTCCACTATTAAGAGCACAGGTAGGATTGCAAAAAGCTCCAGAGCAATTTCTTTCCCATTTATTCTCCCTGGCCCTCTCCTTACCTCCCCACCCAACACATAGTTATTGTTTTATTGTTCCTTCCTTCTCTCATCTTCAGGTTCACCCCATCCATTGCTCAGTTAGGAAAGTGTTTAAAACACACCATAGGCAAATAACCATATGTAAATATATACATACAAATGTATATATTGAAGAGCATGCATTTTATGTATATATGTACATGTATATAAAGAAGAGAACTGTTTATGTACAAACATGTATATGAATCTATATATCTAAATGTATCTTAAAGAGAACACTTCCTTATTTCCATTTGATGCTATCCCCCCAGATCTCTCCAGCTAGAATGGAATCCCAGGGGCACAAACTTGGGTTGCAAAATTTTTGGGTTCCTATCTAGACATGGGTGAGTTAGTATGTTTTCCAAGAAACAGCTGGAGGTCCTATTGGGGAATGTGTTACAGCTGTGGTCACTGTCACAGCAGGGTCCAGGGACACAGGAGATGGAGATCCCTCTCTAGGTCCTTCCCCTGGGTTCTGCTGCTAGCATCCGACAGCCTCCAGTCACTTCCATTCACTTTGCTGTGGAGAACTCATTCCCTGGGCAGGTCCAGCTCTTCAGACCTCCTTGTAGAGGATGGGATGGTTGGGCAGAGGGGCCTCTGCTTCCCAGCAAGTTAGTAAACAATTACTATGTGCCAGGAAAAAAAAATTGCCGGGCATACAAAGTAGAAGTGGAGCCTGCTGTATTGCCGTCCCAGAAAGAGAGCTCAAAGAAAACTTGTTCACGCTAGGGGACTCGCTCATTCTGCAATGCCTGCAGTTACCTACCCTTAGAGCTATTCCTATTCTCACACCCCTGCTGGCTGTGCCTCTAGACCTTAGACCAGGTCCTACAAGATTTTCTTTGGATCCGGACCTACAAATCAATACTACCTCCAACTTGTGTGGGACAGACTCTGCCAAACTGGTCACTCACAAAAATCTCCCTCTGGATAAGGCCCTGACTTGTTCCCTAGCCAGTGCCTGCACTGCCCTACGTTGGAGCTGCTAAAAAGGAGGGAGAAGGGATGGAAAAGGGGGAAGAGGGCCTGGTAAGATGGATAAACATGATGCCTTTTGGAACGAAGGCCAGAAGTGACCGAGGCTCCAGAGGAGCCAGCCGCATTGGTGGACTCGGAGTCTGGCTGTTCACCAGCACCCAGGCTTCTGGCTTCATTTTCCTCAGCAGAGCAATCACGGTATAACAATCGAGAGGAAGAATGTTGTAAGAAAACATTCGCCCAAAACAGATGTTGAACAGGCACCTGCATATAAATATTGACAAATAGAATACCTATGAATTGTCCATTTACTGTTTTATGGGAAATAATGTACACATACTAATGGGTGCACTCAGGCACACATGCACACACGATAGTTAACAATACATATATACATTAACATACATAAACACACGCATGTGCACGCTTACACATGCCTACATACGTCCTAATGTTATATGTGTGTGTTATACGCATATATACATGCATACACAGTGATATATGCATATATGTGCATACAGAGTTTCCTCATCTGTTGATCGAATTGGGCTTCCGGCTAAGCAGTTCTGAGGTTCCACTGCAAGTCTGCGGCCCCTCGCTACTAAGAGAAAGCGACTTTCCGGTTTCCAAACTTTCCGAGTGGCTGGGGGCAAGGGTGTAGGGCGAGCCTGGGAGACTGGGGTTAGGGAGTGAACGAGGGAGGAAGCAAGCAGTGAGTGGGGTACTTCAGCAGCTGTAGTTGCTCCCACTTTGGAGTCCTCATTTCGTCCCTGGGAGCTTTCCCTGGACCAGGACAGCAGGAAAAGAGGCTTTCTGTCTACGGGCTAGACATAGTAGCACCAAATGCCTTTCCAGGGTTTGAGTCCAGTTATCCATTACTGCGGGAAACCCAATCGGGAGAATTATGTGTGTGTGAATTTTAAGTGAGAGTGTGAGTGCTATTGTGAATGTGTTTGTTTGTCTGTGTGCGTCCATTTGTGTGCACGGTCTTATGGGGAAAGGGGTTAAGGGGATGGAGCGAGGAAGTCTTACAATCAGAAAATATTCGGGCACTGAAAAGCTTGCCGCGAATATCGAATACCTTCCTCCCAGTTGAGAGAAGTAAATACCAAGTTTACATTCCGGCGCAGCCCAATCCGAACCTATTGGGCTGATTTGCCCAGACTATGTCAAGTCTTCCTTTAGTCTTCTGGGTTTGGCTGCTGTTGTGTCGAGCAAGCAAGGATTGTAGGTTACTGGTTACTGGCAAACCGAGATGGGACAAAGAAGGTCCTGAGTAACATAGTGGATCCATGTTCAACCTTCTGTCTCTCCCATCCAGGGCTACCTAGAATAGGAAATGGCCCCCGGGAGAATTGCCTGAAAGGAGATGCTGGAGAGAGAGAGAGAGAGAGAGACAGAAAGAGAGAGAGAGAGAGAGAGAGAGAGAGAGAGAGAGAGAGAGAGAGAGAGAGAGAGAGAGAGAGAGAGAGAGAATAAGACAACGAAGAAGGGTCAAACACCTTTATTATCAAAACAAATAAAAAGAACCTCAGTAGCTCAAATAATGTGGATGGCGAAAGAAAACCTAGGACAGAATGTTCGAAATCCGTTCATTCCTTTCCCCTTCTCCCCTTCCAGGCTATTTCGGAACATTTACATTGTAAAGTGCAAAATACCATGTATATGTGATCTGTGATGATTATGTATTTCAATTTTGCAAAACGTTTATAAAAATCTATATTTGGGATAAGAGTAGGAAAATGGGATTTAATTCCATGTCCTTATACTTATTTCTCTTCAACATTGTCATCCATCGGGGATCACAGAGAAAGGGAGGGATGGTATCTGTCACCACAAACATACCACCACCAACCCTGGCCCACTGTTAGTCTACCTGTGGCCCAAGTGCCTTCTCTTTTAATTTTTCCTAAAAAGTGACCAACTCTCCAAAATCCGTCTCTTCCAACCTCAAACCTCAGAGAGCCAAGGAGACCATAGGGAGGACAGTGCGGGTGGGGAGAGGCAAATGAAGGGTCTAGTGGGTGCCTTGCTCTTACTACGAAAGTAAGGATGGAGCTAGGTGTGCGCTCGCTCTTGCTCTCTCTCTCTCTCTCTCTCTCTCTCTCTCTCTCTCTCTCTCTCTCTCTCTCTCTCTCTCTCTCTCTCTCTCTCTCTCTCCCTCTCCCTCTCCCTCCCTCCTTCCCTCCCTCCCTTCCTGACTCCGATGGAAATTTTGGTCTGGAGTTCTTCTCTGAGAGTTTATAAACCATACCCAAACCACTTTTCCCAGTACCTCATGGTTGTTTTGTGTGCCCGGTCACCTCCGAGACTTCAAGCACTCGCGGCCCTCACGGCCCTCACTAACTCTCGTCCCGACACCGCGATCTAAGCACAGAGTGGAAAGCTGTACTTTAACATCTCTGGGAAGATAAAACCTATGGGCATCCCACCGCTCTAAGCTGTCTCTAGTGAGTAGAAGTGACTTTAACGTTACTAGTTTGGCTTTGAGTAGCCCTAGCTTCAGTCAGTATTTGACATTTTCGCAGCCATAGGAACCGTATCTGGCCGATGCCAAACCCTTCCTCTTTCTACAGATAAACTAGGTGCCCCTCCTGTCTACATATTCTTGTTTACCTACGAAGAAGAGCTTTTTAAAAAGGTTTTATTTTTACCCCTGTAGTTTATGAAGACACCACCTCCACTTTCCCCAAACCTGGAAAGAGTGAACAGGAAAGATTGCTATATTAATTCAAATACACAGGAACGCACACAGAGAGAATCAAACAGCAATGCTGATGCTGGTGTTTCTGCAGTATTGATCATGATTTTCCTACCCAGCCTTGGGGGATGACGCTTTGAACTCGGTCCCTTCACCCTTATTTTGTTAGCTTGTTTCCCGGTCCCTCTGCAAACAAGAGTGGGAGCGTTGCAGATGCCTTTGATTAATATGGAAATAAAAGGCAGCAATTGCGGCCGGACTTAGTTTTTAGGGCAATAGATTAGAGATTTATTGACACTGAGATGAACACGAAGTCTGGGAGTATCTCAGTAATTCATGCCCTCATCACTTATTACCAAATGAGCAAATCGTTTTTCTTTGAACTGCCGAAAAAAAAAAATAAGACAGGGTTGAGATTGGGGCAGAAGGGGGTGGGAGAAGATCTTTTTTTAATGGGATGCAAGTGATTGCCCTCCCATCCCCGTTGTCCCCTGAGCTGCTGAAACTCTGCATATCAGCACCAGGGTTCACCAGGCGGTGTTCTAAACATAAAACAATCCAGTAATTTCCTTCAAGAACAAAAGTTCTCAAAGAAATGACCTGCAAGGAATCCCCCTCAATAGAGCAGTAGCGACTTAATGGTCTGTTAATTACTCTATCTCTGCAGGGGGAGGGAAGTTTTCAAATAGAGTGCTGCAAACCCTCTGTTGATTGAAGATGTGGTTTGTCCCCAAATGTTACAGCTGGGTTTGGCCCATTCAAAAAGCAGACAAAACAAAATCGTTGATAAATAATCCTACCTAGAACACAGAGCTTCAGTAGTCAATTGCTAGATGCTGCCTCCTGTCCATAGGACTAGGGTGGGCTGGGGTGGATTTTCTGCAGTTCTAAATTTTTTAGGACTTGAAAGATTTCTTTGTTACAAGTAATAAAGGCTGACCCACTGAATCTGTCCCGAGACCTTTCTGTTAAACCTTTTTGCTTCCTATGATCAGATTGCACACCTTCTCAGACTCTCATTTTGGAATTAAATAAGGTTTGTTTCATCACATCATATGTTTCCCTTACATAAGCAAAGAGGAAAAACTCTTAATTTTTCCCAGTCATCTTCATTTCTGTGACTGTAGCACTATGAAGATAGAATCAAGTATTACAGGATGGTAAGAGAGGAATAAACACTGTAATAAAAACAAACAGGAGACAATTTGGGGCAATTACTTAGTTATGTACAATTTGGATGTACTAGTTACATGGGGAGGGGTCTTTTAAAAAATACCTAAAATCAAAGTGAAGGGGGTTCTTTAAAAATAATGAAACAAAGTATTCCTTATTCTGTTTTTCACTGAAATATTCTGTTCTAAGAGCAGATATGTATCCCTTCCCAAAAAAGAGAATATGTGCATCCGAGAAAGTTGAATTGGATGATATTTTAATCCCCTTTTCAATAAATCAATTAACATATATTTATTAAGCATGTATTACCAGACACTAAATTAGGTACTGCAGATATGAATATGAAGAATGAAATAATCTCCACTCTCAAAGACCTTACTTGTGGCGACCCCCTACCCTTTAATTGGAGGATACATATGTATATATGTGTGTGTGTGTGTGTGTGTGTGTAATACACACACACACATATGTACAGAATAAATACATAGATTAAAATACAATGTAGCTGTGGGGGAGGGCACTAGCAATTAAGAGGTATCAAGAAAAGATTCATGTGGAAGATGGTGCTTGAGTTTCATCATGAAGGAAAAGGGGGTTTCTTTGAGGCAGAGGTGAAGAGGGAGTGCATCCCAGGCATTGGGGGTTGGCCAGTGAAAAGGTAAGGAGATGGGGGATGGAGTACCATGTGTGAGGAACAGGGAAGGTTAATTTGGCTGGATCTTAGATCTGAGGAAAAGGAAGTATTGCACCCTACATCCTAAGCCTCCCTCCCTCCCTCCTCTATCTAGTAAAATTGCTATAAGCTGTTTCAGTTTCATTTTGGTTGGGTGGGCCTGGCCTGAGTAATCAGATTTAAAGCATCCACAAGCATGAAATTAAACAGAATTATCTGGGTAACTTAGAAATGATTCTGACTGAAGGAGAGAAAGCAGCTCTGTTGCTAAATGAATTGAGTCATATTTTAAAGTAAATTTGCTGTTGAATGAATGTCTGTTGAATTGGCTCAAGATAGAGAACTAGGCATGGAGTCAGGAAGATTCACATTCATGATTTCAAATCCAGCCCAGGACATTTACTAGCTGTGTGACCCTGGACAAGTCACTTAACCCTGTTTGCCTCAGTTTCTTCATCTATAAAATGAGCTTCATCTATAAAATGAGCTTAAAAGGAAATGGCAAATCACTCCAGTATCTTTGTTAAGAAACACCAAAATGGGATCAGAAAGTGTCAGACATTACTGAAAAATGACAAAACACGTAGCTCCTTTCTTCCCATCTGCTTCCTTGCTAGACAGTTCTGTCTATCTAAACCCTAATCTTCATTCCTAATCCTCAGAGCTCCAATGAATGTTAAAAACAAAAAGTTGTGTGAACAATTCTATTTTATATCTACTGAAGGAATCTCATCAAGGAATTATTCACAGATGAATACAGAAATTCTTCACAGGTGGTCTACACAACATGGCTTTGGCATATCAACAGAATGTTTGAGCCAGATGAACATTACAGATTATCCACCTCACCTCCTTCAGGAGGAAACTGAAGCACAGAGATGAAATGACTGATTGTCAAAGGTCACAAAGTAACTTAGATGGCAGGCTCAGAACTCAAACCCAGACCAAAGAATGATTAATGTAGAGCTGAAACAGACCTTAGAGGCTACCTAGATCGTTTTACAGATGAGGAAACTAAGGTAGACAGAAGTAAAATGACTTGTCTAATGTCATACAGCTAATAAGAGATAGAGCCAGTATTTGAATTCATATCCTCAGACTCTAAATCTGTCACACTTTCTGTGTACCATACCGGTGCAATTATTTAAAGGAAAAACTCTCAAACGAGAGAGTCACTTTGGAATGCTTTCAAACAATGGGAAACTCAAGATCCTATAAAATCTGTGAATTAATTCTATACTTAAGCAAGAAGACAGCCTGGGCTTGAAATGGCTGGTCTTGGCAGTGCTATGTTTAGGTACAGGATAATTCTATTTTTCCACAGTTGTTCCCTGGCCTTAACCACTAAGAATCCAGAAGATAGCAAAATTATTCACTTCCTCTTCCACCCCCCTTCTTAATTATAGTTTCAACTGTACTTTCATATGAATAAAGTCAAAGAAGGTAAATTTGGCTTATTTACTGTAGTTGTTGATGTTATCATTGTTGTCATTGTGATCAATGAAGTCGCATGTTTTAACTTTCGGAGCTGCTATACTACGCTGTTGACTTATATTGAGATTGCAATTTACTAAAACCTCAAGAGTTTTTTTTTTATTTTAAGGACAAATCAGTTGCCTATTCATGCCTCTGGATCTGATATGGAAGATTTTAGTTTAAGTCCTGACTGCCACTTCTTGATTCCATGGCCCTGAATCACTGATCTTCAGTTTATTTATCTATAGAGATGATGGTAATAATATTTGTAATACATCAATAACAGCAAGCAATTACCTCTATATTCTTCTCTTCAAGTACCCTGAAGGACTTCAGGTGGAAAATCTGGTGAGACCTAATTCTGTTCTGATCTGCTCTAGAATACTCTTGGAAATTATTAATGTGAAAATGCAGTTGAAACTATAAATAAGAAGAGAGTGGAAGAAGAAGAGAATAATCTTGCTAAATTCTAGATTCTCAGTGGATAAGGTCAGGGAGCAAGTATGGAAAATTAGAATCTGGATGCTCCTCTAATGCCAATGAACATTCCTGCAACTTCCAGTTTGACCCAAGAACTCTCTGCTGCTTGACTGCTGCCTCCATCCATCCACTACCATTCTGGGGCCACAAGAATATCCTGGAAACTCGTGTGTGTGTGTGTGTGTGTGTGTGTGTGTGTGACAAACATAGACACAGACACAGAGAGAGAGAGAAACAGAGGTACAGACAGTTCTTCCAGCACCGGATCTCCCTCTGTTCAGCCTCCTTTGTTTCTGCTTCTTTCTAAAATAGATAAATTTCATTTTAACATACAACTTCCCAATAAACCAAACCCAATATACATTACCATAACAAAATTGACCAATGTGATGATTACAACTGACAGCACATATAACTTCCATTTTTGTAGTTTGTTAATAGAAATACAAACACGTATTTTAATAAATTGTAACTAAGTTTGTATTTTAGAATTTTTCTTGCCTTTCAAGTTGTTTTGATTTATTTTGTTGTAGTAATTATATATATTATTCTCTTGGATCTGCTTTCTTCACTCTGCATCAGTTCATACAAATCTGCCTCTGTTTTAATAACTTATTCATGTACATCCTAACTCCATATTCACACAGCACAATAATATTTCACTACTTTAATATACTACAATTTGTCCAACCATTCTCCAGTAACAGAGTATATTATTTTTGTTTAACTGTTTGGCATATATGGGACTGGTGTCTTTATCTTTAACATCCTTGGGATATGAATGTATTAGTGGGATCAAAGAACATAAATAGTTTAGTACATTTTATTATATAATTCCAAATTGTTTTCGAGAACAGTTGTATC